TTAGTGCTGTAAATCTCCCTCTCTACGAATGAGTACTGGGAACTGTGCCACCAATGAAAGGAAATCCTAAGGAAGTACACTTCTTTACAGAGCTGTGTCGTACCATCCTTTGGGCCTCTGCTGGAAAGTAGAATCAAGTCTCAAATAATGCCTTTTTAATTATGTCCTCTAGTATCATAGATGTAGGACAGTACTATATCATACTCTGAATATAAAACTTCTTGTACCTGCTTTATGATACATAGTAGTGGCCATGCTTTATTAGAGCTGGGTTTTTTTTTTTTTTGATTTATTTTTTTTAATTGTTGAAGACCTTTATTTTTATTTATTCATATGTGGTGCTGCGAATCGAACCCAGTGCCTCACACATGCTAGGCAATCTCTCTACCACTGAGCTACAACCACAGTCTGCTCAGAGCTATTTTAAAGGATGTTACCATGAATGTTTTCTTTTCAGATGATGGTTGAAAAGTTAATTTAAAAAAAAAAAAAAACCAGTGCCAGGTATCAATAAATAAATAAATTTCCCTCTCTACTGTTTGGGCTATGTCCCACATATTTTGATATATTGTAATTTCATTTGATTCAGATTCATTGTTTTTCTTTCTTGAGATTTTCTCTGTGTGATCCATTGATTATTTAAAATTATGTTCTTTAATTTCCTAGTGTTCAGGGATTTTCCTTTTACCTTTTCATTACAAATTTCAAGCTTGATTCACTTTTAATGAGAAAACACACTCTGATGGCAGTTAATTTAAATTTGTTAATGTATGTTTTATGGTCCAAGATATTGTCTCTCTTTGGCATATATTCCACATGTATTTGAAAAGAATATATATTCTGCTTTTGTTAAATGGAATGTTCTACATATGTCAGTTAAATCCAGTTGATTGATGATATTGTTTAGTTCTATATTCTTTCTTACCTTCTGTTTAGTTATGCTTTTAAATATAAAGAAAGGGGTGTTGAAGTCTTTGACTATAATTTTGAATTTGTTTTCAGTTCCATCAGTTTTCTGCATTTTATTTTATAGCTCTGTTTTTGGGTGCATACACATTTAGGATTGCTATGTCTTTTTGGTAGACTGACCTTTTTTATAAGTCATTATACAGTATCCCTTTTCATCCCAGATTTTCTTTGTTCTGAAGTCTACTTTGATATTAATTGAGTACCTCTGCTTTCTTTTGGTTAATATGTGCATGGTATATCTTTCTCAATCCTTTTACTTTCAACCTACCTGTATTTATATTTGAAGTGAGTTTCTTGTGGATGGCATATACATAAGCCATGATTTTCATCTGCTTTACCAATCTGTCTTTTGATATTATAGAAGGTGGTATTCCAAGTGCCACTGAGCAGTTGTGAAAGCCCTGATTCTTCACTAGGCTTCCTCTGAAACTATTATGTCAGGGAAAGACACAGATACCTTATTACTGCCCAGTAGACCTGAAAGTCCAGCCTACTCATGTGGTCTCCACTGACTCCACAGAGGGAGGGGAGAATCTTCATTACCTCTCAGCCTTCTCTCACATCCTTCTGGTGGGGTAGTTGGAGTGCCTCATTGCAGGCTGGTAATGGCAGAAGTCTAATCTTCCCATTAGCCTTTACAGAGATGAGAGGTATGGGGAAGAGGGTGTGGCTACAGTTTTTTTCTGACTTGTTTGCCTGAAACAATGGTTGTTATTGTCAGAATATTTTCCCAAGAAAAATTACCTATTACCTGTGTGTGATAAAAAAAAAAAAAGATACGTTTAAGATGTTGTGACTTGCTTAATTTGTACAATACTATCAAGGTACAAGTATTAATCTTAAGACCTGAAAAATAGCCTGAAGTTCCTGACCAAAGAACCTTAATCACTATTTGGTAAATGTGTCCTGCCACAATAAACACTTGTACTTTGAGACAGAAAATATTTGATCAAAGTAGCTGGCTTATAAATTGAGTTGTTTAAGTTTCCAAATATGTAATAAACAGACTACTTGTGCCAGAATGTTTTTGTTTATTTGTTTGTTTTGTGGTGTTAGGGATTGAATAGGGCCTGTGCATACTCGGAAATGCTCCACTACAGAGTTACACTGTCCCAGAATTAGTTTGTTTTTGTTTTGTTTATTCCTGGGTCCAAGGTCCTTGCCACTTTGTTTGGAAAGAACATTAAACTGAAGGACCCCCTTAAAATGATAATTGGCTCATTTATCATTCCTTTGATAATCTTACTGAATTAATTTTGGGGGGACGAAGAAACCATTTCTCTTCACCAGACATGTAATGAATCAGGGTTTTACTTTTGCTTTTTTGCTGTTTATTTTTAATTTTGTTATTTGATTTTTTCTTTAGTTAATTGGTTTGATTTTGTTTTTTGCCTTTGTCAGGCCTTTATCATTTGGAATCAATTTATCTAAACTTGATGCCAAAATTTAAGAAACTTTAATAAGGCCCCCCTCCCCAGCATCAAGATACTCCATGTTTTTATTTAACTCAGAATTTTTCATATAAACTTCATAATATTGCTAAAAATAGTCTGAGATTTGTTTTTTTCCTGAATGAAGTATAAATAATGATATGTTCATTACTTCCAGAATTCATGATGCTTGGATCCATGCTGATTATATAGGTGTTACTAAAGATAGAGAATTAGAGGAATGATGAGACTGCTTAGCAAATAGAAGTCTTTAATTTACTTAAACATATTTTCTAAAAGACATTTAGTTTTGAAAATACCTATTTTTAAAAAATATGTAAAATCTTGCCAATTATAAAACGTTAGATGATATAAACTTAGCCCTACATTATTAAAATGGCACAGAATTTAAAATTTACTAAGCTATTGACTTGTGGTTTTAGAAATCTGCACTTTCAGATAGATTTATATTGTATCACCTTTTTAAATCTTATGTTTATGTTAATAATTTTTAAAGTATATAAAAATACATTCATATGTTATTTATTTTTACTGTGATGTTTCTTCTCTTTTCCTTTATTGTTTGTCTCTGTTTCCTCTATCCTTCATTTTTCCCCCAACATACCTTAGTATATTAATCCATATTTTTTTCTATATGGATTATAGACTAATATTCAAATATATTCACATGAATATATGTAATATATACAAACATATACAGATATGTACACATAGGGATTTGGAGATGTGTTATTTTGCCTGAATGTATAGACTTATATGCTTTTCTTCATCTTGCTTTTGTTATTGAAATTCATGGAATCTCTGTTAGTCAATTGCTGTAGCTCTACTTCAGTGGTGATCTAATATTTCTCAGTGTGGATCTAATATTTCTCAGTGTGGATGCATGTTCAATAATTATTCAGTCATTTCTCCTACTAATAAGCATTTATTGTTACTAGTTTTATATCTCTCTAAAGAAAATAATAAATAGTTATACACACACATACTCATATACATACACACATACAATTACATTCTAATACTTTTGTTGCTAGGGAAAAGGTTAAATTTTAATTTTAATAGATGTTTATAGACTGCTTTTCTATAAGGCTATAATAATTGTCATTTTTACCACCAATTTAGAGATGGCTTTTTCTCTGCCAATAACACATATTATTAGTTTTTTAAATTTCTATTTGATGGTTCACAACCATATTTGACATTGCTCAAATTTGCATTTCTTTAACCTTTAGAGAGTACGAACATCTTTTCTTGTTTCTCAGCCAAATGGATTTGTTCATCTGTGTATTGCCTATTTGTGACCTTTACCTATTTTTTTCTATTGGGTTGCCTATTCCCTTGTCAATTTATTTAATCTCTTTATTATACTCTTTATATTAATCTTCTGTTTCTTCTCTGGATTGCAAATATTCTTTTGAAATCTGTTGTCTCTTGATAGGTTTATTCTATATTTTGTCTTTTTGATGCGTTTATTCTATGTTCTATTTTCTTGATACATCTGTCTTTTGAAAAACCTGGGTTTTCAGTAGTTAAGATGTACTCTTCCTTTTTAAAAATGTCATTTTTAATATCATTTGTAAAATTTGTATTACTTTCAAAATAAACTCTCTTATCCACTTGGAATTTATTTTACAAAATGTTTACAAGATTATGTCCAGTTTTCTTTCAAATTAGTATTCCATTTTTGCAGAATCATTTATTAAATCCTTTTCTCATTGAATTTAAATATTTATGGGTTCAGTATTTACTGATTTTATTACATTGGCATTATAGCACACATAATCAAATGTATGCCAATACAGGAGGATGGAAATATGGTTGTGAGGCTTGGTAAGTTTTGATGATAGTAATTAAGAATGAGTCGCTTCTTCATGTTGAGTCGCTGATCAGAATGGGATGTAGTAGAGAGCCCAGTTGATAGCCATTTTCAGTTGTGCATTTCTTAGCAGGAATACATTCTGAGAAATGTGTCATTAGGCAATTTCATCATTGTGGGAACATCATAGTGGGCTTACACATACAAAGATGGCTATGATGTCACTAGGCAATATGTTCATTGACAAAAACATCATTATGTCACACATGACTGTATTTATAACTATTCCTGATGTTGCCAGCTAATATTTTTGTCTTTGTAGAATATTGAAAATATAAATGTATACTATTTATTGAGAGCCAATTTATTTTACAGAAAAAAATGGATACTTATCCTAAGTATTAAGTTACTTGCCCAATATTATACAACTAATACATGTTAAACATAGGATTAAGACATGAAGTTAAAGCTCTTTCTATTGTGCCAAAATGAAATGTTTGGTGAAACGTACTTTGAAAACTAAAGATACAACGATAATGTCATAATCATCTTATTAGCATCTAAGTTTTATTTTAAAATAATGCAGTGATTAATATACAAGAAAACTGCAGCAGGTTATTCATAACAAAGAAGTTCTGTTTTGATTTAAAAAAATCGTCCATGTGTTCTTTCATGATATGGTCTATGACTAAACTATTAGAATATTTTTAAATCCTTTTTATTCTTAAGACATCCAATAACTGGTTCTTTTAAATATTTTTTAGAACAGAAGAAAGTTAAAAAACCAAAACCCGAATTTCCTGTATACATGCCTTTAGAAAATACGTATGTTCAGTCTTATGATCATGGAACTTCTATAGAAGAAATTGAGGAGCAAATGGATGATTGGCTGGAAAACAGGAACAGAACACAGAAAAAACAGGTAAATGAACTTTTAAAAAGTTGTTTTAATTGAGTAAAACACAGAAAAGTACATAAAATATAGCTATACAGCTCACCAAGGTGTATCCAAGATGCACCAAGTTAACCATTACTAAGATCAATTACTAGAACATTGCCATGTTTCCTCCTAGTTGCTACTTTCTTTTTCCAATTATCATGACTTCTAATGCCATAGGTATTTTGCCCACATTTTGAATTTTACAAATAGAATCATTTTATTGTATTCCTTTGCATCAGATTTTCTGTGTTCAGTATTATGTATTAATGATTATGTTTACTAGTAGGTTATTTTCATTGCTATATAATTATTTTCAAACAGTATATTTTATTTTGTTAGAGAAATATGGTATTTCCAGTTCATGGCTATAATAAATAGTTTTCTTGCAGACATTCTCATACATGTCTTTCAGTTTGTCTATATATAAAATTTTATTTTTGGAGTTAACTTTCAGGTCATAGATCATCTTGAGTAAGTATTTCTGAATCATTTTTAAAAATGTTTATTTCAGTTTACCCTTCAACAGCAAGCAAAATATGATAGTTCTAATTACTGTACATCCTAGCTAGTACTTGATCATGGCTTCTATATTTTAACCATTCTGGTAGTTTTGTGGTGATATCTAATTATGGTATAATTTTCATATCCTTTGATGATTAAATTGAACACCATTTCTTATGTTTACTGAACACTGATAAATACTTATGTGAAGTGCCTTTCCAAGTCTATTTTTTTATTCGATTGCCTATCTTTTTTGATACTGCTCTGTAAAGAGTTCAGAAATTAGTCTTTGGCACATGAATCCTTCTATTCTATTTTTGGCTTGGCTTTTCATTCTCTAAACAGTGCTAATGGTACCTGTGAGCAGTTAATTTCAGTTCTCTGCTCTCCTCTCCCCTGGCAAACACTCATCTACTTTTCGTCTATATAGATTTGCCTATTCTGGATAGTTTGTATAATTGGAATCATATAATATGTGGCCTTTTATGTTTGGCTTTTGAAATTGGGCATAATGTTTTCAAGGTTCATCCATAGGGTAACATGTAACAGTACTTTATTTTTTTTTTTTTGTGACTGAATAATATTTCCATTTGTGGGTATGTGATATACTATTTATCCATTCATCAGCTGATGGACATTTAAGTTAATTCTACTTTTTGGCTATCATAAATGAAGGTGCTATGAAAATTAACATACAAGTCTGAGCATGTTTTGTGGTTTCTGTAGGGATTACAATTAACATCTTATTTTATAACAATCTAGTTAGGATTAATGCCAACTTAATTTCGATAGAATACAAAAACTTGGCTCCCATTCAACTCTGTTCCACCTCCCTTTATGCTTGTCAGTTTGAAGCAGGAAGCCAGAGTAAGATTCAGGAGTCAGGCTCAGGCTTTTATAACTACTTACTCTTGGAAGAACTCCCTTCAGGAGACTAGCATTCCTTTCGTAGGGCAATATCCCAAATGACTTAAGGACTAAGTACTTGACCCCACCTCTTAAAGGTTCCATCAGCATCCACATTGCCACACTAGGGACCAGGCTCCTAATACATAAACCTTATGCCGACAAGCATCCAATCCAATTATACCTATGTTCAACTATTCAAATGTTTGATTTACTCTTGAAAGAATTGTGCAACTGTAGTTTCTGTATTCTGTATGTGCCAAATAGTTTATTAACTATGTTTTGAATTCTCTTGTTATTATCATTCAGTTTTTGATTGCTTGTTAACCAGTTGCCCCCAAGAGATGTGTTAAAAATCTTCCCCTGAGGGCCTGGGGTTGTAGCTCAGTGGTAGAGCACTTGCCTAGCATGTGTGAAGCACTGGGTTCAATCCTCAGCACCATATAAAAATAAATAAATACAATGAAGATATTGTGTCCATTTACAACTAAAAAAAATTTTTTTTAAATCTTCTACTGAGATTATAGGTGTGTTTGTTTTTCCTTGTAGTTTAGTCACATTTTGTTTTATGTATACACAAGTCTTTGTGTGGTTATATGCTTTCTTTTCCCTAGGATGAATAAATTGTAGAATGTCTAGAATATGTGATAGGCATAATTTAAGTATTTAAGCCAGGTGCAGTGGTACATGTCTGTAATCTCAGTGATTTGGGGAGGCTAAGGCAGGGGGATCACAAGTTTGAGGACAGCCTGGGCAATTTACCATGACCCTGTCTCAAAAATAAAAAGGGCAGGGATGGAGCTCAGTGATAGAGTGCCAGTAGGTTCAATCCCTAGACCGCAGGAAGGAAGGAAGGAAGGAAGGGAGGGAGGGAGGGAAGGCAGGAAGGCAGGAAGGAAGGGAGGGAGGGAGGGAGGGAGGGAGGGAAATTAAATATTTAGGAAACTGCCAAACTGTTTCCCCAAGTAGCTGTTTATTTTTGCATTCCCACCAGCAGTGTATGAGGGTTACAGTTGCTCTATATCCTGCTCTATACTTGCTGTGACTATTCTCTTCAATTTTAGCTATTCTAGCAGATGTATAACAGTATCTCATTTTGCTTCCAAAATTCAGTTCTCTATTGAATGATAATATCTGAGTACATTTTCATATGTTCATTTACCATTTGAATATCTTATTTTATGAAGTATCTAAGTGTCTACTTTATGAAGTGTCTGTTTCCTAGTTTATTGAATTTGAAAGTTTTCTATATATTTTAGATGTAAGCCCTTTGTTACTAGTCATTTTGCAAATATTTTCCTCCAATCTATAACTTGATTTTTCTTAGTAAAAGTATCTTTTGAAAGCAAAAAGTCTTTAATTCAGATGTTCCCATTAACAAAATTTTTTCTTTTATATTTAATCCTTTATGTCCTAATTAGGAAATCTTTGCAAACCTAAAGTCACTAATATTTTCTCCTGTTCCCTGTTAGAAGTTGTATAATTTTGCTCTTCCATTTAGATTTGTGATCCATTTCAACTTTTGCATATTGTGTGAAGTAGGCGTCAAAGTTCAAACTTTTTTTTTTAGATTCAAACCTTTTTACATATGACTATGTCATGTTCCAGCTCCATTTGTTGAAAAGATTATCCTTTTTCACTGGATAGCCATGGTATCTTGGTTAGAAAGCAATTGATTATATATATATTTTATATATATATATATTTCTGATGGTTCTTTACTAATACATAGAAATAGAACTGATTTTTGTATATTGACCTTATATTCTACAATTTTGCTCAACTAACTTATTAGTTCTAGTTGCTTCTTTACCCCTTGCCTTAGGATTTTCTACATAAATTATTATGTTGCCTATAAGTGAAGAAAGTTTTGCTTCTTAGTTTCCAGTTTGGAAGCTCTGTATCTTTTTATGGCCTTTTGATTGGATAGGACCTCCAATTCAGTGTTTTTTGTTTGTTTGTTTGTTTTTGTTTTTTTTAAGAAGTAGTGAAAAAAACATCCTTATCTCACTCTTGATCTCAGGAAGTATTATCTTTTCATCACTTATTATGATGCTAGCTGTAGGCTTTTAACAGATATTCTTCATCATCTTGAGGAAAATTCCTTCTATTTCTAGTTGCTGAGTTTTTATCATGAATGGAGTTGGATTTTTTTTTCCAGATTGTTTATTTTCTGCATCTAAAAGGATGGTTACATGGTCTTTCTCTTTTATCTGTTAATGTATAATACAGTGAATTGTATTGATTTTAAAATGTTAAACCACTCTTGAGTTATTGGGACAAACTGTGCTTTGGTCATTACATATTATCACTTTTTATATATTGTGAATTTCATTTTCTTTTCAGTTTGTGTTCATACTGGTCTTAGTGCTTTATTTCAACATTTTTGTCTGCTTATCATATCATTTGAGGCTGACCTCATAGAATGCATTGGAAGATATTTCTCTTCTCTTTTCTAGAAACATTTGTGGAATTTTTCATCTGTTTCTTCTCTGGTGAGCTATGATAGTTTGTGTCTGTGAAGGGACATGACTATTTCATCTAAGTTGTTGAATGTACTGACAAGAGTTGTTCCTAGAGTTCCCTTATTATTATTTTAATATCTGTAGAATTTATATTGATATTTCACCTTTATTTATGATATTAGATTTTTTTCCCTCTTACTGGGGACTGAACTCAGGGCCACTCAACCACTGAGCCACATCCCCAGCCCTATTTGTATTTTACTTAGAGACAGGGTCTCACTGAGTTGCTTAGCACCTGGCTTTTGCTGAGGCTGACTCTTAAACTCAGAATCCTCCTGCATCAGCCTTCTGACCCCTGGGATTACAGGCATGCGTCCAGCTGGTATTAGCACAGCAATTTATATCTACTGTTTTAGTCCTGATCAGGCTGTCTAGAGGTACATCCAATTTACTGATCTTTAAAAAATTAGTTTTTTGTTTCATTGATTTTTCTATATTGTTTTTCAGCTTTGTAAGGCATTGATTTCTACTCTTAAATTAATTTTTTCTGTATTCTTTTTAATTTTCTCTTTTTCTGGTGTCTTAAGGTAGATGAAATATTGAGTCATTGGTTTGAATACTTCAGTCTTTTAGCTGTATCCTACAAATTTTAGAATTATATTCTGGTTTTCATAAAGATTAAAACATGTTCTAATTTCCCTTGCTATTTTTTATTCATGTTTAGTTTCCTAATAGATGCATATTTTGCAGATATCTTTCTGATATTGCTTCCTGTTTGCTTACAATTTTTATTATTACTAAAGTGTTATAGTTTTTGAAATTTTGGATGAGTAATCTATTTACATTTAGTATTATTGATGACATTTTGGAATTTGAATCTGTCATCTTAATATTTGCTTTCTACTGGTCCCTCTTTTTTAAATAAAGTTTTGTTTCCATATTTTTATTGGTATATGTTAATTATACATAATAGTAGAATTTTTTGTTACTTATTCATTCATGCACACAATATACCAGTATACTTTGGCCAGTGTCATTTGCCAGTATTTCCCCTACTCCCTCTTATTTTATATTTATTGCTCTTTCCTCTTTTGCTTTCTTTTGGATTGA